TAAGGAGAGAAGAGAGGAAATTGAAAGAACACCCGAAGACCAGGAGTTAGCTCATGATATATTAACAATGTTTTTAACGATCAATACTCCGCGTGATATCACCGAAAAAATTGCAGATAGTTTGCACGACAGGCCTATGACTAATGAGGAAATTTGCGAAAACTTTATAGAGATTTTTACAGGTGGAATCGACACGGTAAATATTATCTGTCATATTTCCATGGTTTAAATAAAAAATTCATGTAATAATTATCTCTGTAAAATTTAGTCGTCGAATTCTATCTGCTATATAATTTATTATCTGTCACATTATCCAAAAGTTAAAGAAAAATTGATAGAAGAGATCGATCGGGTCATCGGAAAAGATCAAAACCGTAAGATTTCCAATGAAGACATAAGGAAACTTGAATATTGCGAAGCTGTAATTCATGAATGTATGTAAAACTTTTTTATCGAGCATGCCGTAATTTATACTTGTTCTAAATAAATAAAATAAATAAATATTATTTTAGGCTCGCGAATATTTTCAACTGTTCCTAATGTGGGTAAAAGAAACGCAAATCCTGAAGAAGTTGGTGATATGACATTTTCAGAAAACACATTGTTTTTTGTTTATTTTCAAGGAATCCACAAGCACAAATCTCTATGGAGTGATCCTGAAGAGTTTGATCCAGAAAGATTTATGGGAAAAAACAAGGAAGAAAGCAAAAAACATCTCTATACATTTGGTTTCGGATTGAGAAAGTGTGAGTTATTTTATATTGTTGACAGAAATTTTACGGTGTGTTTATTTTGAATATATAATTGAAAGTAAATTTTTTTCAATAGGTCCCGGGAGAAACTTTGGAATGCTGCAGTTAAAACTTACTCTAATACTATTATACAGGAAGTATGATGTCGAACTAGTTGATATGAATGCACCGATAAAGTTTCATACTGCCGTAGTCAGGATATGCGATGAACTAAAAGTTCGAATTAAGAAACGATAATTTAACTAATTAATCTGATTCCACCTGATTCCATGTTAAATAAATCATTATTGGAAACCTCTAACGTACGAGTTTTCATTAATTTCTTTTTCTCTTTATTATTCGTTATTATTTTCTATATTCTCTTTTTTATATTTATTTCATTTGTATATTATATAATATTCTGGGAATTAAGTTTAAATGTACAAAAAACATTATATAAGAAGAACAAAGGCTTCTATTTAATAAAGTGAAAATTTCGATTCTAACAATCAATATATACTTATTGGTTTTTATTAAAGGACTTAGGATACTATTTAATTATATAAAGAAAGACATCTTTTTATTAGAGCTATCCAATCAATTATCAGTCAAGTTAAAAATTAAATATACTATAAATCCGTTGCCAAGAATAAGCTCACATCAAAATTTAGTTGTTTATATGTCAAAGTGAACAAATTCAAGAAACAGTTTATTGAGTTATCATATAGAAAATTTATCAGATCCTGTATGTTGCTATTTGATGCTTTAATATTATTTGTATAAAAAATTTTTAAACTATGCATATATTGACTATATACCTAAACAAGTTACTATTAATTTGTTATTTTCCTTTTCAAATTAAAAGACTTATGAACTGATTACTCAAAACCAAATATTTTAACAAATCAATTTAATTCAATATACTATTAAATTTTATATCAAAAAAAATATATTTAAAACTGCTGTTCTAACTTGATATAACTGTTATAAATTTCTTGTTCTTTCTTGAATTGATTAATATTTATAAAATTATAATATTAATAAATTAATTTTGTTTTTATATATTTAAATAATATTTTGATTTATAACAAGTCAAAAAATATTAATTCTATACTTGTAAACTATTTTAACTATTTTATAACAACAATAACTTTACATTAAAATAAAAAATATAATTTGCTATATATTGAAATTTAATATATAAAATAATTATTTTTATTATAAAAATACTATAAACTTATAAAATATTATTATTATATAGAATTGGCTAATACTTATTAATATATTGAAAAATTGTTTTTTTTTTTAATTTAATAATTATTTTATCAATATAAATTTTGTTTATTGTATTAAAATTACAGTAAACATTACTTAAACAAATTATTTTATATTAATTTTTATTGTCAAAATTTTAAGATTTAAAATATAAAAAAATTAACTTAAACTAATTCTTTTATAATTCTTAATATAAACCTTCAAATATTAATATTTAAACTTGAACCACTATTTAAAACTTTCATATTTTTTTGTTATAAAAGCTTAAAGCTTTATTTATTTAACTTTTAAATCCTTTATATATATATTAATTAAAACTAAACTATTTTAATTATTTTAATTATTTGTAAATTCTTAAAAGTTTCAAAATTTATAATTATTGTATTATATAATTAATAATAATTATTCATGAATTTTAATATATTGTATTTATATTATTAAATATTTATAAATTAATAAATATATTTTTAATTGAAAGTAATAAATAGTTTTTAAATATTTAAATATATCAAAATTATTAACTTTTTTTTCAAGATTTAATTTTTTATTTGAAAAATATTTCTATTAAATAAATAAGACAAAAAATATTGAAATATGGAATTTAGATTATATAATCAATAATTATTTGCAAAATCACAAAATTTAATTAAAAAATCTATACTAATAATAAATAATTACAATAAAATTAATGTTTAATTATATAAAAAGTGATAGAAAATTATTTAGTGCTTTAAAAAAGTATTAAACTGATATTGAAATAGTATTAATCTATTATAAATTTAATATAAAAGTTACATATAATTCACTTATATAAATTTATAATAAAATTAAATATTAAACCAATATTAAAATAGTATTAATCTATTATAAATTTAATATAAAAGTTACATATAATTCACTTATATAAATTTATAATAAAATTAAATATTAAACCAATATTAAAATAGTATTAATCTATTATAAATTTAATATAAAAGTTACATATAATTCACTTATATAAATTTATAATAAAATTAAA